AAATAAATGTATAAAACTTACACTCGAAATTTCCACATACAATACTAACCCTTTTCCCGGTTTTATCATCCTGAAACATGAACGAAGGACAATGGTATAATGTGTGAGCAAACATCGCCTCACGAAACTCTTGAGCAACAACGCTCTCTCCAAGTCGTGTTCGTTCTCGCGCTGTATTTCTCTACAAAGATAAACAAGCTATACTACTCGTTTGTATTCGTTTACGAAACACTGCAACGTTTTTTCCAGGATTTTTTGCTGGATCCATTTTTGCAGAGAAGATTAAGGGGGAGCTTCACGCTATAGTTGATCATGAAAATTCACAAAATTTGGACCATCACTATTTAGCAGGTTTTCAAATCGTTTACACAGAACCTATATATTTTTAGAATCTGCCGAACTCCAGCTGGATGCTGAGAGAATATATTTATACGGTTAGAAAGTTACATGCCTAAATCTAGACCTGTGCCAAAAATGGTTCATTTTCATCAAAACGGTAATGATAAGTATTCGGGGGGCAGTTCACATAGGTTCGAAAATCAAGTTAGGCACCTAAGAGTGATGTTTTCCAACGTTTTACTCTTCAATCGACCAAATCTGGAAGTAAAGCTCCCACTTACAGTAAGCTTACCAAAAAGCTGCGGGTCTGGCGTAGCTTTCCCCCTAGGGGAGGGGATAGAGCCGTAGAGAAGTGAAGTTTCAGAAACAGCCCCAAATTGCTGTGATTTTGGAGTTAATATTTAGTACAATTGAGTTAAGCATGGTTTTTCTTGCGTTGTGAAACGATTTGCAGGCGGTACATATGTTCGGGTTTTTTCTTACTTTGTTTGGTTTCCGATGGAGAAAATTATTTTCACATCACAAACAACTCAAACAACTTCATTTTTACTGCACTGAAACTTTTGATGAGCTGACCGAATCTCAAAACTCAATTCAAGAGCGAGTTTTGAGGGCCGTTCAATGGCCCTAAAAGGCCTTGAATGGCTGAAAACCCATGCTGTGCTATAAGTCATTTGTGGTATGCTCCGCGAAAGTAAAACTGCAAGCTCTGAAAACATATTTCAGTATGTGGGTATATTATACCCTATATACATATAAACGATGTGCTGCAAACAAAATATGGCAACCTATTTGCACTTTTTTTAGCTTGCTTTTATTTTTGCAAAATCAGTAATAAAGATACGTACAGTATAAAGCAAGAGGTCCTAATGCAAACTTCGCTTCAGGTTAAAAAAATCTTACTTGTTCGTCGATAGATAATGGAAGACTGGTTTCGTTGGGGGAGGGCCAGACAAACTCTAGGGGCTCAGGGGGACATGCTCCCCGGGCAAATGTTGGAATCTCGCGTTTCCCAAATTTCCTGCGTTCTGGGGGACGAGGTCGTTTTGTTAATTTTGCATTCTAGATGTCGAATAATCTGGGGACTTAGCCCCCTCAATTCTATTCCTTGGGGGACGGGGACGATCTTTGTCCCCTAGCCTCCACCCGTTCCGCCGCGTTTGTGCTCGTTGCATTCTCTCGCTTCATCCCTTTCATGGCTTGAAAAATACATCTAAAACATGTACAATATTTGGCTCGATTACATTTCCAATCATTCGATAAAATGTGCGTAAAAATTAATACAATACAACAAAACAACACTAGTATACCATATCCACTACTCGATACCAATTTCTTGAACGTTGACCCGAACTGTATCTTTTAAGATTAAAATTAACATTCCCAATATGTTTTTCATCGCCATCAGTGACGCGGTAGATGTGCATAATAATTGTTCTACAAACAAATATGAAACTTTAAGGGACCGCTCATTAATTAGAGGGGGATGAGGGGAGGGGGGGGGGGGACGGGGGGCTAGTGCAAATGAAATATGCAATGTTCATTTTTCATTGACCCTCTCAAAAGTGGGGCAGATTTTGGGCTGTCCCTCTCCCCTCCTACCACAACACCTACTGGGAAGTTTATTGGAAGTTTATTGTATGTAGGTTTTGTTCACATTTGAAGCCGCGATATAAACACATATTGTTGTCTTTATAATTGATACCGTTTGGATACAGTATCAACCATTCCTATTATTTTTGGTATTCAAATCTTTGGAACACATCTAATGCTATCCAGTTGTTTCCAGTATATTGTATATTCAACTTGAATTATGTCTACATGTTATATTTGTACTGTTAGCATAGATGACGGAAGATCTAAACAAGCCCCCAAGAGCGCCATGCTCACACCAGAAAATTTCCAATTCTAAAATCTCTGTTCTAGAAATTCTAGAATTCTCAGAATTCTTTGCTCATTTACATTAAGTTCTCCCGCCGATGTATGTATGACATGGCATCTCAAAAGATGAAAAATACATCTCAAAACATGTAAAATACATGAAAGGCACACGTTCTGAGATGGGTTTTTTTTTCAAAATAGGTAATTACTTATTTATTGCTTCCATAAAGCATCTGCTCCCTCCTTTTCCTTTGCTTGGAAATTGGTGACCTTCCCTATTTTTACACCAACTCCCCCTCTAATTATTGACCAGTCCCTTACAACAAAGAGCACAGCAGGTATCGTAGATTTAAACGGTGTACTTCTCCATCGCATGATGGCAAGGTTTAAGTAAATTTTCATGATAAATAACTAACTTTTGTTTCGTCTTAATAATGGACTTGGCCTGTCTACCACATCTAGATCTTTGACATTTGTCATTTTTGTATATTTATAATTTTTATAAGTATATACATGTAATTGACTAATACAATACCTATGTGAGAGATCGTCTACAGATACGTCAAATTGAAATGTCTCCTCGTATTCAGGATCAACACAGCTATTGACAATCTAAATATAAAAATAAATGACAAACGTACACGCCTTTTACTGTCTATAGCAGCCTAAGAAATAGATGTCTCTTCCTGAGAGCAAAATCCAAAATAGAAATTTCCCGTGTAAATTAATTCCTGCATAGGTAGATTTCAGAGAATGCATGTATGGTGCCCAGAGGCGCCGGAATATCGATAATTGCGGGGGCAGATATTCATATATTCGTGTTCACAGACTGTAAAAACAATCGATTTCAAAAGAAATTAATTGGGCAGAAC